GGCGCAGTTATCCCCCCATGTGCAAAGGCACGAAGCACTTAAAAACACAGAGCCGAACATGACCCCGTCCTAATATGGGGGGGGGGGGGGCGTCCTTAATTAGAACAGGGTTTGGCGGTAAGTTATAGCATCTCCACGTTAAGGATACCTAATTAATATTGCCACGAAATCTTCAGGCACCTTGAATACTTCTGGACTGAAGAGACTGCTCCCTCAAGTCCTAGTGACTTCAGCCTATATGGTCGCAACCGTCGGAATGTAGCGCGCAAATCAATTAACGCCGGGCAACATCAGGAAGACCCAGTTAAGTGTGGTCACGGCCTCCGCGAAGCCTTGCACGAGTAGCCAAAGGTTCCTGTCGAAAGGTCGCAAGGAGAACGCACCGTGCCTTTCAAGCGAATGTCTCTCCTTGGCTATTCGAACGTTATTCAGCTGAGTTTAATGGCTCCGGGATGGTGTCTGCATAATTTCGACCGGCAACAACAGAGAAACTAAACCCCTACCAATGACCGTCGCTCCATTCGGAGGCCTGATTTTAGGAATCCAGAGTTTTACAACTATTGGCCTGAAGCGCCGGAGAACTTGTACCAGCTTCACCAGTCGAAGCAGCCGCATCAGGCGTAGCATTCGAAAGACGACCAGATTACTCTCGACATCCTCAGTATCTCAAAGGGTCCAAGTACTAGTATAGTATATACTTGGGGGCCCAAATACCTAGTAAGTACCTACTATAATGGTACTTGGACCCTTTGGGTATGGAGTGCTTGCAGAAAACAGTATATAGGGCCAGAGTATAGGGGCCATCAATACGGAGGCATTCTCTGCATGCTAATTGCTGCAAGTATTGAAGACTAGCGTGTGCAGAGTATAGGTTCACAAATTACACCAACCAAATCCTTGACAACGCCTGCCAAAGACCGCAAGACGACTAGTTCGATTCAAGGAAGAAGATTCCCAGATCCAAGTGCAAGGGCAGTCGTAAAAGGTTTCAAAGCCGTAATTTACAAGTACAGGGCTGCGGCAGTTGACTGTACTGTTGTAGCAAGCGAAACGGAGCTTACCAAAACAAATGCAATAAGATGATGAACCAACTCACCTGGAACAAACGCATGACCGGCAGCAGCAGTAACTAGTAAGACAAGCCACACGTCAGGCCACGGTACAGTCACACGTACCGAAACAGACACGTCTAGAAGATCAAACATGCTTCGGAATGTACTCCTACAGCTCGCAGCACGCATGTTCATTGAAGCCGTCTTCGAGATGTGCCGGTCTTGCGTCGCACTGCCGCTGCTATGGTCCTACCCATCCGGTCACATACCTGAAGAGAGCCAAGCTTCCGTCACATAGGGGATTATCCAAACATCAGCCACCTCACCAGACAGAAGAAAAAGCGTTATATATATATATATATATGTGGCCCATATGTATATCTATATATATATAGATATGTATAGATCCCACCGGGAAATCTCCACGGCTCTACTCAAAAGCAGCGGTGACAAGAAGCCTTAACAAAAACCAGTGTTAGTCGTCTTTAGGGTTCATGAAAAGGGTCCGGGTATTCTAAGTCTTGAAACACTAAATCCCAAAAGACAACCCGGTTCGAAATCTGAAGGCAGGCACCTTAGGTTTTAAAAGAAACTGTCCTAGAAGCAGCCCCTGGGAATTCCTGAGCAGCTTCCTTCTCTGCTGCTTCTCCATGGATCTAGACCAGAGGGCTTGTAGTCTTATAGGGACAAGTAGTTTTTTTTTGGTGTGTTTTTCTCTAGTTTAGGGGGGGTTTCGGGCTTGGGGTTTATGGGGCTTAACACCCTAAACCCTAAACCCTAGACCCTAAACCCTAAAGGATTTATCTTATGAGCTCGGAGCTGCCAAGAGGCCGTCAGCACCTCGGGCGAGAGCCGTGCTTCGGCTGTTTTTTGGAGTTAGGGTTTAGGGTTTAGGGTTTAGGGGGGACACTTGGGGACATAAGCCCTCTCAATAAGGCCCCCTTTTAAGAAAGCCAAAAGTAGGGCCAGTAGGGTCAAGAGGGGTCCCCTTTAAGGGGTCTTCCTAATACTACGTTACCTAGGATTTTTCAAAGTTCAAACCCATTGCTCTGTAAGGCAAGGCTTTACGGGGTACGACCGGGGTACGATAAGTAAGGGTTACTACACGGCTAACTACAAGGATTTTTTTAGGGACGTTTGAATGTTAGAATGGGATTTTGGATTGCGCTGTCTAAATGAAAAATGGCTTTGCGATGGCTTTGTTATCCTCGGCATCGCCGTCGTCCAAAGCAAATGCCGATCTGGGGCAATCACCATGTAGGATCGGTGTGAGAACCCGAAGGCACAGGGCCGGCTTTGCAAGAAGCTAGTGGATTGAGGTTCGGACTGCAGAAACCCTACAACTTAAGTCCTTAGTGGCGCTAGATGTCGAACATAATGGGGGTGAAGAATTGCAGACTGCACAAACTCACAGCCATCGCCCTCTTAGCGGTGGCCAAACCCTAAACATAAACCCGAGTGCCTATGAACCCTAGAAGCCCAAACCCTGTGCCCTACACACTCCACCTGTTATTGTTATTAGCCCTACAAGCCCAGCTCACCGGGTTCAGACACTGCCGTCGAGAAGCGACCAAAACCATGTCAACATAGTTCAGGCAATCCTGGCAGGTCAAAACATTGTCGAGTCTTGGGTCTAGGGTATCCTGATAAACCCTAAACGCCAAATGCCTAAACCGCCCAAATTCCATGTCTTTAGTATTCCGAGGTCTCTCCCGTCCACCTTAATTACCATTTCGGACGTCGTCCACCTCTCTACCCTAAGAAAGCACCATCTACGGCTCTCCATAATGTTTAAACAGTGTTTTGGCGAAGCCTATCCTGAAAAAGCCCTAAGGAAGAGTTTCCCTATTGTTGACAGTGTTCACAGCTTTCTTGGTGCCCATATACGAGATTGGCTGAATTATCAAATGTGAACCACCATTCATGAGTTCCAGATTCTCGATGCTCGCGCTCAGATGGAGCGGAACACCGACAGAGAGAGCCAACAAAACGCCTCAATTCAGCAATAAGCCTTAAACTATGCAGTAGGGGGCTTCGGTGCGGGTATCCTTACTTATGTAAAGAGGGCTCTTTGGGTCCGGGCATCTGGAGTTCCAGACTTTACCGGCTCCCCTGCCCTCGGAAATCGCAGGCCTTGAAGTAGCGCCACCTCATCTCCCAGATCTTCACGAACGCCTCCTTGGCTCGAAACCCTAAGCCCACCCGGTTTAGGGTTTAGGGTTTAGGGCCCCATAGTAGTTCCTTTTTGGGATTACCTAATAGGAAACTCAATGCAAACCACAAAAAAGGAACTACTATGGGGCCTATGGGTAAGCCCTAAGCCCCTAAACCATAATCCATGCTTCCCATGGATCGCCAGCCTCTGCGTCCCTCCTCTTTGAGCATGCGACTCAGCAAAACCCTTCGAGCATTTCTTGCTGACTCATATAGCCGATTGCCCCTCTTTAGGTTTAGGGTTTTATGTAATATACTCCTTGTGATACCATACTACATCATCTAATAATAGCCTTTACAGTACCCGCTTGAATGACCCACCTAGTCGTCTCCTTCTAAGTCTAAGCAATCTTACATCGGACGTCGTGGCCGCTGGCCCTGTAATCAAACTAACCAGACCACCGACAGTAGTACCATTTCTACGTATCTTATGAACTGTTTTTGCATGTTTCAGGGTTCCAGAGTAACCATAGAATAGACCATCCTTTAAAGAACTACAGTTTAGGTCCTGCCTGAGGGTTTAGGTGGGGCCGCAGCTTCCAAACAGGCTGGTGCCCAGAATGCAGGGACCCAGTCGAGCATCCACACAAGAGCCGTAGGAGTTCTACAAGTCTACACAGGCCTTATAGGGCTCAGGGCTAAGATTGGGATATCCCATCGCCCTCTCCTTAGGCAAGCCAATAAACCTGGGGTGTTCCACCCATACAAGCTTGTTTGGCTTCCTGAGAAAAGCATGCCGCCAAGGATCAGCAATCCAAGTGACCTCAGGCAAAAGCTCTGAGATAGCACACTGAGTCTGAGTGACTAGGATGGCAGAGCCTGGCCTCTAGAGACACTCACTGAACCCATTTGGGGGGTTTCCGAAAATAGGGGACCCTAATATAGTACCCTAAATAGTAGGATCCTTATTATAAGGACCCCAAAATAAGGTACCCCTAATTTTCTGAAACTCCCATTTCTATTTTTGGACTTCAAGGGCCTGAGGTAGGGTCGGCTAGAGTAAGGCAAGGGTTCGGGTACGGGGCTTTCAGATTTAACGGTTGGGTCGCAACGGATTCAAAATTTAGAAAGCAGCAGGACGTGCTCACCCCGAAAATTAGACTAGTTTGCACAGGTCATGAAAATAAACAAAGCTGAGCCAAGTTCAGCACAACCTCCTTCTGCAAGGGGTGCGGTCAGGTGG